GAAGGAAGGAAGGAAGGAAGGAAGGAAGGAAGGAAGGAAGGAAGGAAGGAAAAGAAAACCAAGGAGGAAAGATTAGGTCACAATCTGTCTATTCAAAAAAGTTTTTGTTCCGGCCTTGCCTCAAGGGCCTCCTTCTCCACTTTTAACTCTAAAATACCAATTCGGTGTTCATTAAACGAAACCCCAGTGCGATGGGGGCTGCTAAAATACCCTTTCCACCCTTCCCCTTCCCACTGTTTTGTTTTATTCAGTGGCTCACTTTTGTGCAGATGGCAAAGCATGGTAGGAAATTTGAATCCTACCACCTGGGCAGGCTTGGGAGGGGAGGGGAGAAGCCCCCTCCCTCCAAGGATGCTGGAGGGAAAAGCGAAAAGAAAAAACATCCAGCCAGGCCATATTTCGAACTCTTACCTGCTGGGCTCAGTGAGAGGGGAAGAAGATCTGTTAAGGTCATTCACAGTTTGAGAGACGCCCCGGAGTGACCAGTCGAAAGGCAGAACATCTCTGCTTGGACTATTAATTGCTTATTAACTCAACGAACAAATGTACATAATGAAGAACCAGGCTGGGTGCCCTTTCAGTGGAGTGTGAAGTTCCTTTTTTTATGTGTGTGTTATGGTAGCTATTCATCTTTCCTTTTTTTTATACACAAAAATAGTTGGGGACTTTCAAATCTTCTCCAACTGAGGTTGCCACCTTCCTGAAGATAGCGGTGCCTTGGGAATGAGACCATGGCACTTGGGATCAAGGCCAAGATTCTGAAGCTTGTTCTACAGAACTTCAGTGGGCAGATCCAGGGGTGGGATTAAAAAATTTTAACCACTGATTTTGTGGGCGTGGCTTAGGTGGTAGGCATGGCTTGGTGGTCATGTTATTGGCTGGGTGTGGCCAACTCAATATCACTCACATCGAGGCACACGTCTCCTCACCTGACTTCTCATGACTGTGGGGATGCTGCAACAGTCGTAAGTGTGAAAAATGGTCATAAGTCACGTTTTTCAGTGCCATTGTAACTTGGAATGGTCACTCCACACAAGCAAAATGCCAGCAAAGGAAGGGGGAAAAACTCCAGAGAAGTTCCAGAGACAGGAAGTCTAGTCCTGCCAAGAAGGTAATAAGGGTTAATGGAGAGGCAGTTTCTGTAAGCAACACCAGAATGTTTCCTTCCTGCCTTCCTTACAGGATTAGGCCAGTAATTTCTTCTAACAACAGGTTCTCTGAACTGCTTAGAATGTTAACAACCATTCTAGCGAATAGGTGCGAACTGGTAGAATCCCACCCCTGGGCAGATCCTCTTGGTGCCAGCCTTGGAAGCCACATTGTACTTGGAAGCTTCGAGGCTGCCACATTTGATAATAACAGATAATCAGAGTTGGAAGGGACCTTATAGGTCATCTAGTCCACCCCCGCCAAAGCAGGAGACCCTACACCATTTCTGACAAATGGCAGTCCAATCTCTTTTTGAAGGTCTCAAGTGATGGCACTCCCACAACTTCCGAGGGCAACTTCTGTTCCATTGGTTGATTGTTCTCACTGTCAGAAAGTTTCTCCTTATTTCCAGGTTGAATGTCTCCTTGATCAGTTTCCATCCATTGTTCCTTGTCTGGCCTTCAGGTGCCTTGGAGAATACCTTGACCCCTTCCTCCTCTCTGGGGCAGCCCCTCAAATATTGGAAGACTGCTATCCTGTCTCCCCTGGTCCTTCTCTTCACTAGACTCGCCATGCCCGGTTCCTGTAACCGTTCTTCATATGTTTTAGCCTCCTTTAGTCCCCTCATCATCCTGGTTGCTCTTCTCTGCACTTTTTCTGGAGTCTCAACGTCTTTTTTATAGTGTGGTGACCAAAACTGGATGCAGTACTCTAGATGTGGTCTTACTAAGGCTTTATAGAGTGGTATTAATACTTCCCTTGATCTTGATTGTATCCCTCTGTTAATGCAACTTAGGACTGCATTGGCTTTTTTGGCTGCTGCCGCACACGGCTGCACATTTGGGAGGGGAGTTTTCTTAGTGAGTAGATTAGACTCAATAACCTTCTTTCTTAAAAGTCAAAGACAAGTTACCCTACAGCTGGAGAGGAGGGTCTGGAAGAATGGCTCCAGTTGGGACAAAGTTTTGATTGGGCCAATCAAACCAGTTTTGGTCACCACACTATCAAGAAAAGATGTTGAGGCTCTATAAAAAGTGCAGAGAAGAGCAACCTGGATGAGTAGGGGACTGCAGGCTGAAACTTATGAAGAACAGTTGCAGGAACTGGGCATGTCTAGTCTAGTGAAGAGAAGAGGAGGACCAGGGGAGACAGGATAGCAGTTTCCCAATATTTGAGGGGCTGCTACAGAGAGGAGGAGGGGGTCAAGCTATTTTCCAAAGCCCCTGAAGGCCAGGCAAGGAATAATGGATGGAAACTGAACAAGGAGAGATTCAACCTGGAAATAAGGAGAAACTTTCTGACAGTGAGAACAATCAACCAGTGGAACAGCTTGCATTTGGAAGTTGTGGTAGCTTCATCATTGGAGGCTTTCAAGAAGAGATTGGACTGCCATTTGTCAGAAATGGTGTAGTAGGCTCTCCTGCTTAGGCGGGGGTGGGGGGTTGGAGTAGATAACCTACAAGGTCCCTTTCAACTCTGATTATCTGTAAGCCATGTGATGGACTGATGGGTGCAGAGGATGGATCTTTGAATTTCTCTTTTGGGAAGGGAAAACCTGAAACTCTCAGATTCGGGTTTTCCCAGGTGTGCCAATATGACTTCTCTAATAAATTCTTACTTGGGTGAACTTTGTTTCTGAGTGCTGAATGAGATGGAGAGTTTGGCTGGAACGCTGACACTTGGAGGAGAAAGCCAAGGCAGTTGAGATGATTGGGATGTGAAGGGTTTTCTGTATCATTTGTCCAGAGCCATTTGTCTTTCGCGCCCAACCCCTGGAGAAGCTTCAATCAGCAAGTTGTAGGTTGCCACATTGACCATAGGCACATGGCAAACACTTGCAGTGTTTTCCTCTTAATGTGCAATTTTCTTAAATTATAGCAGCACCATTATAGATTACCCTGCATTTTTGACTGACTGGACAGGCAAATGTGTTCAGCTTCGTGTTAGCCAGCAGCCCCCAACACTGCTGCATCTCTGTTATTCCAAGAAAATGAATGAATGCATTCTAGAAAACAGTTTCCATAGCAGAATGATAGTGAAATAGAGTTTGCCCAAAAGAGGGAAGCACAGCTGCGAGGATACTGTAAGGAAGGGAAGAGAGGAGGAAAAAAGGAATCAGATGTGCGTGCATGGAATAGTTCTCGAGAAGTAAATATCTCTGGTATATTTTTTATCCTGCAATTTGCTGGTTGTAATTACTTTTGGCATTTTAAATGGCTCTGCAGAGTGAGAGTTTTAAATGTGGGCCTGGGCTGGATTGATTCTCATAAGGGTTATATACAATTACTTTATTTATTTGTTTGTTTTTATTTATTTCAACTTCAATACTGCTGAAGTTCAGTGATAATGGGAAATCCCTTGTTGATTTTTTGCAAGGAAGAGGGAAAAAATGAAGTTACGATCTATGAATTTGATTAGAATTAATAGAACATAGAAACATATAAACTCAGAAAATGAGGTCGACTTATAACTGTGGTAAATGAAAATCAGAAAGTCACTCTTTGTAACTTTTTTTTCTTGTCTGTCATTTCTGCACTTTTGTTTTCACTCTTTTCTTTCTTTTTTTTCCCTCTTTTGCCATTCTAAATATTAGTTCTTGTTCATTTTTATTATGTTTTTCAAATTTCTAATCAAGTTTATTTTTAAAAAAATGGCACAGGCATATAAAAAGCATGCAGTGATGGCATTGCAGGGCAGGAATGCTGCAACTTGTCCCAATTTGCTGGAGTCTCTTCTTCCTCCTCCCCTTCTCCCTCTCCTCCCTCCCCTTCCTTTCCTCCTCCTTCCCTCCCTCCCCCTCCCTCCTCCTCCAATTCTTCTTCTTGTTGTTTCTTTCTATCTTCTTTTCTTCTCCTCCTCTTCCTCCTTCTTCTCCTTCTCCTTCTGTCTCCCCCTCTTCCCTTTCCCTCCTCCTCCTCCTCCTTCTTCATCCCCCTCTTTCCCCTCCTCCTCCTCCTTCTTCTTCATCTTCTTCCTTCCTTCTTCCTCCTTCCTCCTCTTTCCTTCTTCTTCTGTTTCATCTAATATATTTGGCAGTGTGATAAAATGCCCCAAAGATTTATGTGTCAGGGTTCCAACAAATCCACCCCCATTCAAATCATAAGTCTCTAGCCGCATCTCTTACAGTAAAAAAAAAATGATTTATTAGGAGTGGCCATGTTGGCGTTAGCTGGGTGCAGCTGACACTAAGACACACCATTCATTTTCCCCTTGACCCTGGTCTTCCCCCCACCCCCAGATGAATATTCTCCAATGGGACACATCCGTCGCCAAGAGCCATCAATCATGCTCTCCAGTAATAATCTTGTGCGCCAACAGCTTCAGCTGCCTAGCAATTATCTGATGCGTTTAAGGAATGCACTGCTTTCCCCCCCCCCCCTCCCTTTCTGCTGACAACTAAAAAGACCAAAGGAGTATTTTTTTAGTTGACATTATGTACATTGGATGGAAAATGGTGACGTAGCAAGCAGGAACTGATGGACTTCGGTCCATCAAGGAGACAGGCCAAGAAAGGCTGGTGGTGACTAAAGTTGGTGCTCCCTGAAGTGAATCCATCTTGGTGAAATTCTGTGGACACGCCTGAAGGTTTCAGAGATGCAGGTCAGCCGACTTCTCCCTCCCTCCACTCCCGTGTTGGTGCAAACGTGTGCTTTTTTTTCCCCCTTCCTAGGCTGATGCCAAGATGGTCTGTGATGTGGTGAGCCGGATGGAAGACACGGAGCCCTTCTCTCCAGAGCTGCTTTCGGCAATGATAAGGCTGTGGTCCGACAGTGGCCTCCAGGAGTGTTTCAATCGGTCCCGAGAATATCAGCTCAATGACTCTGCTCAATAGTGAGTTTTGGTCGTCACTTAGAGGTCCTTTTAAACAAGGAGCAGCAACCAGGATTGTCTGCCAGCCTTACCTTCATTGTAGGGTTACTGTCAGGGCTCCGGTAGTTACCCCCATTTAAATCATGAGATTCTAGCTGGATTTTAAAAGCTTAAAGATTTATTAGGACCAAACATGCTGGCACTGCCTGGGTGTAGCTGACACATAATTCATTGTCATCCTTGGCCCTGGTTTCCCCCCCACCTCCTGGGTGTATCATAATTCATATTCTCCAATGGGACACATCCATAGCCAAGAGTCATCAAAATCATGCTCTCCAGTTAGAATTTTGCATGGCAGAAACTTCAGTCACCTAGTTACTATCTTTGAAAACATTTATGGAATGCACTTTCGGTTTCCAAGCTCTTCCCTCCCCCCTCCCCCACTTTCCTGCTGGCAACTCTAAAAGACCAGAGAAATATTTTATGAGTTGACAGTTACATTCAAACAGGGGTCTCCAAACTTAGCAACTTGAAGACTTATGGACTTCAACTCCCAGAATCCCCCGTGCCGGCTGAGGAGATTCTGGGAGTTGAAGTCCATAAGTCTTCAAATTGCCAAGTTTGGAGACTGCTGCGTTAAAAGAATCTTGCACTCTTTTCGAAACTGCATCTCTTCCCCACCTTCCCCCCTGCCTTTACAGGTCAAGACACTAAGGGAGGGTCTGATTGTGATTTGTGCACTGGGCAACCTTCGTATATTTATATCGGTCGCAGCCTGCTACCATCACATGTTTACCATTTGCAAACTTCGTAGTTAACGTCCGACAAGCAAGTTAACTAGGGAAACCAACAAAGAAGGTTGCAAGTCACCGATATGTGACGTCTTCCTTAACAACCGCACCACTTCAGAATGAATTTTCCAGTCCCTATTGGGGTCATAAGTCAAGCTCCCTTAAGGTTCATGTCTCTGGGATAATGGATACAATCATGTGCATTTAGCAAGCAGTCATTGTACCTAGACCAGGGGTGTCAAACTCAAGGCTCAGGGGCCGAATCCAGCTCATGGGATGCTTAGATTTGGCCCACAGTGCCAGCCTAAAAATAGCAAAGGACCGGCCTGCAGTGCCTCTGACAGCAAAAACAGGGTGTGGGGGGGCCGCATGTAGCCACCCCCCCCGGCTCCATTTCCACTGGCAGAGGGCTAGCAAAACAAACTAAAAAGAAAACAAAAGGAGAAGTGTTTCCTCTTTTTCATTTGAGCATGCAAGAAGGGACAGGAAAGGAGAAAGGGAAAGAGGAAAGAGGAAAGACAAAGAAAAAGAAGGGAAGATGGGAAGAGAGCAAGAAAGGAAAAAGAAGGAAAGGAGAAGGAAGAGGGAACGAAAAAGAAGGAAGGAAGGAAGGAAGGAAGGAAGGAAGGAAGGAAGGAAGGAA